GAATAACACAGCTGTAAGTCATATTGTACAACCTTTTGCTCCTACTATAATAACTGTCTGTCTCCTTACATTCTACTGCAGTATCAATAATCTGTCAAATACATTAAAACTAGGAATCGGTCCTTCTATATATTCATGTTTGTATTTCCCTGTTAATTGTAGCATCAGGTGGCTCAAAAATGCTTAAATTACACACAAGGTGGCCTCATGCCCTTCTTTATAGTGCATTAATTATTACATGTTTGCTATGGACTGATCCTTCATAACAGATACCCTCTGGTTACTCAAAGGTCAAACTAATCCGCTACGTATGAGTAGTATTTAACAGAATACTGACAAAACAGTCAGGAACACCAAGACAAACAATTTCATTAAGCTAACTTCTGTCAGCCCCGTGTGTTTTACCTCGTTGAAAACTGGGTACATCACGGCGTACAGCGTCATGGATACCATGGAGTTTGTCTCCGCTTCATTCTTCATCTCCTCCATTGTCATCCTCCAGGGAGGAGCAGCTCTTGGTGAAACTGTGAGGAGGAAACTGCAGCTCACACACACTCACACATACACTCACCCACACACACTCACTCACTCACTCACTCACTCACTCACACACACTCTGAAAACCACACAAGCTCCAGAGTGACAAGAGCCTGGAGAAAAAAAAAGACAATAGCCAGTTATTTTTATTTTTATATTTAAGACATTGCGCATCTACGTAGTCCAGTATATCTTAATGAAGACATATTCAATGTGGTTATTAGTAGGGATGGACCAATTTGATCAACCCTATCAATACTGGTGCTGATCTGGACCTGATAAAGTGGTTCAGGTACAGGCTAGAAACAAGACTGATCGACATCAAATGTAGTTTCTTGGTCAGTATTGTTATAAAACTCAGTGTCAGTTACATTCGCTCAGCCATGGCAGCTGCTAACTGGTGGCACATCACACCCTGGCAAAAATATGGCATTGCATAAAAATGATTCCAATCAGTTACATGCAGCGAGATAAAAAGATTTTTAATGTAGGTGAGCATTGATATTTGGTATCAGCAGACAATTGGAGCAGTATGACAGTTCACAGATAAAACATAAACATGTCAACACTCTGATGGAAAAACACTGTATCTATGTACCTCAAACATGTATTTGGAATTTCTGTTCTGCAATTTCTTGTAGCGCTGAAACTAATCATTATTTTCATTATCGATTATCCTTCTGATTATTTTTTGACTGATCAATTTGGCATTTTGTCTATAAAAAAATAAAGTAAATAGGGAAAAGACCTGTTATAATTGCCAACAGACCATGGTGACAGCTACAGATGTCTTGCTTTATCAGTCCAAAATCCAAAGATATTCAGTTTACTCTTATGTGTGACAAAGAAAAGCATCAAATCCCTTATATTTGAGAAGCTAGAAACACAAAATGTTTTACATTTTTGCATACCATTATCAAAATAGTTGCAGATTAATTCTATGTTGATCAACTGATCCTTGCAGCTCTAACTTCTTGTAAACATATAAACTAACACATGCAGGTCAACCAGTACTTTATATCTTAAGATAGCTTTGTAACCAGCAGAAAGAGGTGACGTATTGGTTGGTTTCACCTGAAGGAGGGAGTGGCACAATTTAATGTTACCTGGGTGCTGACAACGAGGCCAATGTGACCAAATAACAACTTAAATGTATAATAATATCAGTATTAAGAAAACAAGGAGCACTCATTACAAGCAAGACCTCCACTATTTCGTACTTGTTCTGATATATTGAGTGAATCTGGTTTGTAAGGGCAAGAAGACATGACTGACAAAGTAATGTCTGCTGGTGTAGCTCAGTTCTTAGCAAACTAAATGGTGAGCATTTGGGTGTTCCGTTAGGCTTATCAAGTACTTGTGCCATTCATGACCTGACTAAGAGTTAAAATATTTTCTGAGATATACAGTAACATTACAGTTTGTCAGCCACAGTATCAGACGCGACGGCTGCCTAACTGGAAGGCTAAACTGACAAGCTACTCGGCTAACTGGGTATCGCTACAAAGTAGTTCATGTAACGCTAACTAAGGTTTGCTCCTTCTTTCAAGGTAACAGGCTATCAAAATCCAATGTTGGGACTATAATCGATTGGGTAAAGTGACAAAATTACCGCGATCTAGCCGAAAGATTCCCAATTGAGGCCTATGGCCGGGCAGATCGATGGTAGCGAATTGCTAGCAGTGAACAGCGTAGCTTACGTGCTAGCTACTGTAAATTGTAGATTTGTACCTGCTGTTGAGCTAAAACACGTCAACAAACTGCTTTAGGTCAGATGTATAAGTCGGTATGTGCGTGTCAAGTGTGTACTTGTATCTACCTTTGGTCTGACTTCTTAAATGGGCTGGTTACGCCGTCGATTGCCTTTTAGCTGCTATGTTTTCTTTACAACTTAAGGCGGAAGTTTTTTAGGACTGGCCTCAGCGACATCTTCCGGACCGTTGCTACGTAAACAGACGCCCTCCAATCAGAGGGGGGTTGGATGGAGCGACTGTGACGTCATGTGCGATAAAGGATAGATTATTTTCTGTTATCTTTGCATTTTTTGTTACTTTGAGGAAGTCAAAGTTTTACTGAAAAAAACAACCCACGACGCTTAAGTTTGCTTCCGATGCAGAGCGTCCGATTAGCTGAACGACCGATTTTGCACCATTTGCTATGTGAAGCTGCTAAATATCCCAGTTAAACCCTTGTTCAAATCCCACATTAAGATTAGCTAAACCGTTATTTTATCAATGAAACAAATAAAATATGGATTTCATAGTGTTTTCTCCATCCAGACAGCACCAATAGACCAGGTCAGTCTTAAAAACCCACACATTTATACTTATCAAACCTGAATTTGATGAACAAATAGACTGTATCTGTTAGCAGACTTACTGAAGTCATTCTAAGCAAAATTATGTTTTTACCCAAATATATCATACATTTTCACCAGGATGCACAACTTTTTATTTCTTTGCCAAGGATTGTCTCTGGACCATCTTCATATCTCCCCCATTACATTCTGCACATGTCAAGAGGTCAAGTGTCTCATTTTCTCCCTTATTGTGGAGGAATGTGGAGGTTATCTCACAGATTGTCAGTTCAGTTGCCTGGTTAGTTTCACTCTGATGGGTCAGAGGAGAGCAGGCTCCAGGTGGATGAAGCCTTCAGGCACATGTCTAACAGAAGATATCTGGTATGCAAATCTCACACAGAAGATAGAATAGTTACACATTACATCAAAGTTTATTCATCTGTCTTTATTGAAGAACAATTTCATCAAAACAACAAGAATGATGAATGATTAAGTTTGTCACATCGATGCTCTGACACCCTTTAGAACACAACGGAATATTAATATATTGTTGAAATTATTGTTCTTAATGTGTTTTTGATTCATAAACTATCATGTTCTTTTGATGTAATATATTCTGATAATATGGTACACACTGTTGTCATGGCAACAGCTGCTCCAGTTCCAGTTCAGTTAAATTATATCGTCATTTCATACCGTGTCATTCACTCTGGTCTTTATCATGTGAAACAGTCTCATTGATTGAGCCTGTATATTTGGGACAATTCCCATGATGTTCATCCTAAAGTTCATGGGACTATGTAAAGAGACACTGATTCCTACAGTGTTCACACTTAAAGCTGAAAGTCATCACTTTAACCCGTGTTACTGTTTGATTACTAATTCAGTGCGTTGGAAGCAGCCTAAACAACAATAACACTGTCTCTAATTATTGACATCTGCATGATGTGTGGATGTCTTTATATCAATACAGGTAAGTCTGAGGTCACCTGGGTCTCTGTGTGAAATGTCTTTACATGGAAATGTGATAAAACACATATTGAATAAACATGTCCAATGGCTGCTAAATATAAAGGGTAAAAGATAGAGTTTGGGCAAATTACATATTTTGATGGTTTTTGAGGTGAAAAGAAGTTAAACATTAAAGGACATTAAAGACAATCAGACATTAAAAAACAAACCTTTCTTCAAATGTTAATGTACTGTTGGTTCTTTTTCTTTCATGAACTTAAAAAGAAGAAAAAACTAATTGTGGTCTGTGCTGTGTCAGTACTTGGTAATGCCCTGCTCTGCCAAATGTTACATAAGAGGTGGAAATATTTTGCTTCGAGGTTGTGTGGCAACCAGTGGCACAGGGGACACTGAATGGATAGAGGGAAGAATGGATACTAAATGTCCAGCTGTCAGTCAAGAAAGCAGAACTCAGAATCAAGCATGAACTACTTTAAGAAAAGTAACCTGAAGCTTGACTTGAACATTACTGAAAATCTGTGTGTGGATCTTATACATGCTGTGTGTGCAAGACAGCCTAAAGAGATCTTAGAGCTTGAAGTGCTCTGCTAAGAAGAGAGGCTGAAAAGTCCTAGAATGAAAAACAGTTGTTTGTGGGCTGTGATATCTGCCAAAGGGGGTGTTACTAGGTACCCAGACTTTTGAATGTGCAAAAAAAAAAATCGGGTTTTTTTTTGTTTTAAGTTCACGAAATAAAGTAAACAGTCAACTAACACTGCACTAATTTTTTTTTTCAATTTTTAATAGTTTTCTGCAGTCTGTTATACTGACTGCTTTTCACTGCAAAAATCAACAAAATAAAATGCCCCCAAACTTTTGCACACAACTGTTAACACCTTATGGTGATCCCTCATACACAAGATACCAATATGAGTTATCACAGGAGACATGCACATCACCGCTTCAATTATTAATTACTGAATAAATATCTGATAGATGAGCAATGTATTTCTTCATTTGAATTTGAATTGCATGGCATTTGGTTGAGCCACTCCTCACAGACACCCGCCATCATTCTGGAAAGGTAAGAGAACTCTCTAGAAGGGAGTACTTTAACTGAACCGTCCCGCCTACGTGGATTCTGACTGGAGGAGAACCCGGGCCATTTGCTGCTGTAGCAACAAGGCTGTTGCTCTCATCCTCGCGTGTTGTGTAACAGAGACGGAGCAGCCTGATTGGTTTGTTCCACTGGTGAAGGAAGGATAATCACTTGTTCGCTGTCGCACGAGCTAAGGGGAGGTAGGAACTATCCGGCACTTTCAGGCGAAAAGGACTAGACATTTCTAATCACACAGCCGAGGAACTGTCAGCGAGACGCACCAGTACTATCTTATTTTAACCACCCAAGAAACTACAAACTTCTTTACTCTTGTGTAAGCGGGAAAAGGTGAGGCAGCTTCCGGGTTTGGTCTTGGTGCGTATGTACCAGTCATTCATTTATGAACCTACCTATATCTCCGTTTTTAATGATCAGCAATAACGTAAAACAGTCTAAAATGTGGTAATATAATTTCACAGTTTTATCATCTAGAGGGGGGGGGGGGGGGCACAAAAGATTAGAGATAACATATCTTCCCTTTTTCAACATGGCACGCGGGGCAGCATGAATTACTCATGACGTGTTAAGGAAATTACGCGTAGTGCAGTTTCGACACAACCGTTCAGAGAGAGGCTGAATTAATTGTCTCCTGTTTATTTGCAGACTCTACAACCATGTCAGTGAACATCTACGTCAACAGCCCTAATGTGAAGTACACAGATAAACACATTGTGGCTCAGTATGCCTATCAGACCACATCAGTGAAGAGAGAAGGGAACAAAGTCATGGTAAGTCTACAGTCTTTCTCACATTTTGTCCCATATGTTTGTGTATAAAACGTATGTATCTACTATCCGTACAGTCTCTCACTAACTGCATGCTCCGTATGGGGAACAGGTGACCCCCCACACCACTGAGATGACATTTTGTACTGAGAGGCATGTGCCACGGCTGGGAGTGATGCTGGTGGGCTGGGGAGGCAACAACGGGACCACAGTCACAGCAGCTGTTCTGGCCAACAAGCTGGGTCTCACCTGGATGACCAAGACTGGAGAGAAGGTGAGTGGAGTGACACAAACCTGTCTGTGCACTTACATGCAGGGATCGCTTGTTTACATTCATTTCGTGCAGAGACTTGAAGCATGTGGTATTTGAGATGGGAAATCTACGTAAAAATGAAACTTGGTAGACATGATCTTCACTGTGTGGAATTAGCCACAGTGCCTCAAGCAACTTTAAAATCTGGGCAAGTTAATTTCCATGCTTGTTGAAATGGATGCAAAATAAATGGCTGTCTTAGGGTAGGAAAAAACATAAATTGAATGTGTTTTGGTGAATGAACCTTTTATAACCAGACTAAACTAGGATGTGAACACCTGAAAGCTACTGGTGAAGCTTCTTGTCCTATTATGTAAATATGGCCTCCTGTATGTCACCTGATGGAGTGGTAGAGACTCATTAAAAGCTGATTATACTGACATGTTCAGTAGAGTGTAAAGAGCTTAACTGACTCTGGTCTTGGGGATTTATCTTTATATGGACATGCATTTTTGCCTCTATGAGCTGGTTCTTAAGATTTACATTTTGGTAATTTCTCGCTGTGGTTCATAGGATTATACATTTGTAATAAACCTTAAAACCAGTAAAAAAATATACTTCTTAGATGGAATGAAATAACAGTGTTTTTTCTCTCCTCTCTTCCTCATTTCTAAGGAAGCAAATTACTTCGGCTCCTTCCTGCAGGCATCTACTGTTTGTTTGGGGTCAAGCTTTGAGGGCGAGGTCAACGTGCCCTTCAGAGACATCTTGCCCATGGTGCATCCTAATGATATTGTCTTTGACGGTATGGACAATTGCACATAGTCTGCTCAAGGTTTGACCTCTGAGGCAGAAACTGAGAAGTGTGTGTGTGTGTGTGAGAGAGAGACAGGGCAAGTGAGGTAACAGCAGTGTTATCAGCAGAGAAAACCAACCCCAGGGCAGAAGAGGCTGACAATTTTTCAGGAATCTTTGGGAATCTTTTTCTTTTTTAACTTGTGTGTTTGTGTTTTTAGGTTGGGATGTGTCTGCAATGGATCTGGGCAGTGCTATGGAGCGAGCTCAGGTGCTGGATTGGTCATTACAAGAGCAGCTCCGACCACACATGAGCGGCATGAAACCCAGGCCATCCATCTATATCCCAGAATTCATTGCTGCAAATCAAGAGAGCCGAGCCGACAATGTCCTCACTGGCACCCTGGCAGAGCAGGTAGTACACGATCGGCTTACTTGCAGCGTTATGTCGTCTTCATCTATTTATTCCACTTTAGATTGTGTTGTTTCTGTTGTGATTTTTAATTTGAGTTAAAAGAATAAATGGTCTTCCAGGTGGAGCAGATCAGAGCTGACATAAGGGACTTCCATCAGTCGAGTGGAGTGGACAAAGTCATTGTTCTGTGGACGGCGAACACCGAGCGTTTCTGTGATATCATACCAGGAGTCAATGACAACGCCAAGAACCTGCTTGCTGCAATCCAGGTGAGAACAGGAGCTGGTTTGGTTCAGAAACTTCCAGATTCATAAAACATACTCAAACGTATGAGATCTAAAGACACAAATCCTTAAGCTGGTTTCACTAGTGAGGCTTTAATCGTCCATGAAACCTGAATTGTGTTGGTGGCCAGTAGTCATGAATCACCAATTCAACTTTGATTTCCTCCTAATGTTTAGGACCAAACAGTAATCCTCCATCACATTCAGTGGTTATTAAAGCTTAGAGGATGAAGAGATTAGCTTTCCCAACACTTAACTGTGTATTTGTAAATGAAATGCCATAATGTGTCTGAAACGGTCAGCTATTCCTTTCATATCAGATCAGGGGAAGAAAATTATGATTTGCGCGTCTCGGATGAGTTTTTATTTTATCTCCTGTCTTCACATGCTTGTCCTGCAGTCAGAAACGATAATAGTCTATTTCACAGACTTGTGATCTTCAGCAAATAGCTCAATTTCAGATAGGCATGAAGCCGACAATAGAGCTGTAATACAGAGATGTTGTAAAGAGAGTCTCAGGGGATATGTAGCCCTGTGAGTCAAGCTTTGTTCTTCGGTGTAATATGATGATACAATTTGTAACAGCCATTATCTCGCTCTTTTTTTTTTTTTTTTTTTCTATATCCTTCAGGCCGGAGCGGCGGTTTCTCCCTCCACTCTGTTTGCAGTGGCCAGTATACTGGAGGGCTGCGCCTTCATCAACGGCTCCCCACAGAACACTTTCGTCCCCGGGGCCATAGAGCTGGCCGAGCAGAGAGGCGTGTTCATTGGAGGAGATGACTTCAAGTCTGGTCAGACCAAGATCAAGTCGGTGCTGGTGGATTTTCTGGTCAGCGCAGGAATCAAGGTGAGAGAAAGGATGCATGGATAGAAGGAAGGTGGATTATCAAAGTAATTAATGGATGCTAATCAGACTGAGGCGCTCATCGTTCAGAGGAATAATTGTCCTGATGAACAGTTTACTACCAGCTACTATAAAGCCTAATGCACAGTACACCCCTCCCACCAACCCGAGTCAGCTGAAACACATTAACACCACCTGCGGCTGGTGAAAGTGCGTGAAAACGAGTTATTAAGTGAGTAGAGAAATTAAAACAGATAACTAAAGGTGATCGTTGAACAATGCAACCAATACAATCAGAATACATCAGAAGAAAATGTTTGAAAGATGACAGGTGATGTCAGTGGAGGGTACTTGAGCTCCTCTGACAGGGTGTTGGACAAAAAGGTTATGTATTTAACAACTGGATTATACTTCCTTTTGATAGGAATACAGCTAACCACTAGTTTCTCTGCCCTCGACAGCCAACCTCCATTGTCAGCTACAATCACCTCGGCAACAATGATGGGAAAAACCTGTCGGCTCCGCAGCAGTTCCGCTCCAAAGAGATCTCCAAGAGCAACGTTGTGGATGACATGGTCCAGTCAAACCCCATCCTGTATCAGCCAGGAGAGAAACCTGACCACTGTGTGAGTGACTCAAACACAGAATAAAGAATGTGGATGATTACAGAACATAACTGATCAGGATTATTAACCATCTATGTATTATTTCAGGTGGTGATTAAGTATGTCCCCTATGTGGGAGACAGCAAGCGTGCCATGGATGAGTACACCTCTGAAATAATGATGGGCGGGATCAGTACTATCGCCCTGCACAACACCTGCGAGGTCAGTGGTCACTATATTTTGTTAGAAACAAGCAAAACCACACCGTACTATATTAGAGCAGTTTTTAATGCAAGAATCCAAACTGCTAATTGCTGCTAAACTCAACGTTCAGATATATTCTTCTTTCTCTGATAGCTGTGGAGGAGAAGGAGGATGAGGAGGGAGGGGAGAGGCTCAGAAGTACCTGAGCTTACTGTTAATCCTTCTTAACAAGCTGGAGCTAATTTAAAGATACATATGCAGGTCATTGACATAGTTATTTCATGTTTCACTGGCATACCTGCTTAGCCTTCTACCATTTATTCCGTCACACAAATAACATATATTCAGGTTACGTTCACACACTGAATGTGTATGGTAAATAAAATGAATTTGGATTAATGTATAGTGGTAGTATTAAAAAGGCACTGCTACGGTTACAGGATCAGTGCACGTGATCAGCATGTGAAGAGAACAATATTTTTTCCAAAAATGGTTTGAGAGTTCCACATGTTCATAAAGGTCTTAAACAATTCCTTTCTCCCGCTGTCACACCATTAAACTCACCTCCTCTTTCTGTGTTCGCAACAGGACTCTCTACTCGCCAGCCCAATCATCCTGGACCTGGTGATCCTGACAGAGCTTTGTCAGCGTGTGACTGTCCGGCCCCAGGGGGAGGAGGACTTCCAGTCCTTCCACAGTGTCTTAGCACTGCTCTCCTTCTTGTGCAAAGCCCCTCTGGTCCCATCAGGGACCCCGGTGGTCAACGCCTTCTTCCGCCAGAGAACCTCCATAGAAAACATCATGAGGTGTGGATCAATTTCACTTCAAGACTTAGGTTTTCTATACCTGGGCTGCCTTACCACATAATTCACAAAAAAGTTAAAATTTACATTCAGTAGGAGAAAGATACTTTAAATCACCCAAGCGGGTAAACAGGTGTGAAATGTTGGTGTCTATTTTTGTGGCAGAAATTGACAAGAGTCTGCCTCGTTCTTTTTTTCAGAGCGTGCCTCGGCCTTCCTCCTCAGAACCACATGCTCCTGGAGCACAAGCTGCAGAGAAACTTCCTGCCTCCACAAACCACCTACAGCAACGGTGAAGTAGCTGCAATGAAAAAAGCTATTCTCACCAACGGGAACCATATATCTCTAACAAATGGCATCTGTGCACATGTCGACGATGCAGCATGTGCATTATGATTGCAACACTACAGCCCAAAATAGAACTGAAACTTAATACAGTTTAAAACTTAATACCTTGTATAAAAAGAACAAAAGCTCTCAAGCTGCCATCGCAGAAAAAAAACAACAACATAAAAAACTTTGCAACTTGACATGTATGTATGATGCATTTAAAATCATTGGTATTCTGTGAGTCTTGGTCTGTTGAAGAAAGGCATGGTGCAGCTAAATTTCCACCGTATACATGCAACCAGGAATGGAGGTTAGCAAAAGATATGCTATAGGTCCTGCTTTGACAGAGGCCGGTGTGAAGCCACTGACTGCGGTCACCGGAGTCTATATATGACACAAAATTATTCAAGGCAGACTATTTTGTTCGAATATTTTTTACAGAATTACATTAATATTTTTGTTAATACAGTTGTTTCTGAATTTACTGTTAGATTTCTTTCATGTGGCTTTTAACTTTATCAAGTAGGTTTCCGTGTACAAATGTAAAATACAGCTGTACAGTATAGTTCTTAGAAATACTGTTGGTTATATTATTAATACTGTATGTTTTACAAAAAAATGTGGTGTTGACCTTGCAGCTCTGAAAATGGAACAGGTAACTGTTGATGTAGATGGACTTGATGAATGAGGAGCATATTCTTAACCTGTATTTTGTGTTGTTGTCAATCACTGGCATTTTGTAGTTTTTTCCTTTTTTTGTGTGAAACTAAATGACAGGAAATGTGGATATAGTTTTAACTATTTTGTTGCAGAGTCACTTGGGCTATTTATATATAATAAATGTTTAAATATTGTCATTTGAACTTAATATTTCTGAAACATTAATTATTTTGTTTGTCTTTTTTAATTCACTTTTCCTCCTACTCAGCCGTCAAGTTCAAATGCTGTATGTGTGAATAGGTAAAAGCTATTGTTGCTAAAACAAGTATATGACACATCATATAAAAACATGGTAATGAGTAAAAGGAACACATAAGCAAATGCCATTTAATCAGTGACAGATGTTGGTCAAATGAGTCTCCTTTGTGTGCACACACACAAACACTCACTTTGGTATTGTAGTTAGCCAAAGTTCTTGAACAGCTGCGTGTGTTTAGACAACATTTCACATTTAAGAACCTTACCTTCTTTATATTGCTCAACCTCAAATTGAGATAGAGGTTTGGTACTGGTACTGCAGTCTCAGGTATTGTGCCTGCACTAGTATCAGAATTTAAAATCAATGCACAGAATACACACACCTACAAAAGCCTACAGAGCATCCTGTTGGATTTCTCAAATCTTAAAGGAAAAAAAGAAAAAAACAGAGTTGGATGAGGCTGGATTACCAAAAGGATGCAATTGCCCACTCCACTGAAAGCTTCAGACTACTTAGTAGTTTCTAGTAATTTAGTAGTAGTGATGACAAGAAAAAAAGAGTCACATTTTGGTTTGGATTTACTGTCAAAATTATGAGATAAGCCAAAAGTTTGATTGAGTAAACAAAATATGAGAGGAGGAAGTTGAAATTGGCAAAATGTTGCATAAAACCCAATTTATTATATAAAAAGTTAACACTTTAACTTAGTCACAAGTTCCTCTTTTTATTATCTCATAATTTTACCTTTTTATCTTATAAATTAATATTTTATTACATTATTCTGACACAGTGAATCAAAAATCTTGACTTTTTATTAAATATTTTTTGTTTGGCCTGAGAAGTCAAAATTAGCTTACACGAGTATTTTATTTATCACGACTAGTATAAACTGGTCCATTTCCTGTTTCCCGAACGAGCTTCCATCACTTCCGCTGCCGTTGCTGCGACACGGGACGTCAACAGTAATGGCGGACAAAGAGAAACGCCGGTCCGGGGTTATTCCTCCTGGGATGCCCGAGGGCAAAGCCACCAAATCGGACAGCGACAGGGAGTTTTTATCGCAGGCGGGGGTGGGAGAGCTGCTCCGCGGGGCCATCCTGAAGATGGTCGAAGCCAGATCGGACGATCCCATCGGGTTCCTAGCCGACCATTTCTGCAACCTCGCCTCCGTGACAGAGACCGGCACAGCTGGATGCAGCGATGGGGATCAGCTGAACAACGGCCCGCTGAGCGCAGGCGCGCAGGAGCAGCAGCATCTCAACCGGGCACTGTGGCACCTGCGGCTGGCGCACCACTCCCAAAGGTCTATGGTCGAAACAGTGTGATTATAGTGTGGATCATGTTGTTTTCATGGAATTTCCAAAGAGATATATGGCGTTTTTTTTTTTTAATTATCACAGACCCATTTGACATGCTATTCTAATACATATCCTATATTTTATTCTGTGGTAGATAGCTAATAATTCAGTTAGGCATAATTTTGCTTCACTGTGAAAATGATAGTAATATACAGGTTTAATCAATATGTGATTATGACCTATGTTGGCCATAGTAATTATAGTGGAAAATACAGACCATTCTATGATAAACAATACACCGTATAATGTTTATAGACAATGGCAATCATAACAAACTGCAGCATGTACATTTGTGGCATAATTCACTCAACAGAACAACCTGGACACCTTTCACCAAAGGTTTATTATTAGTCATTTTTAATTAGAACAAATTTTGGGTTGCCAGGTTGTGGCTGGTGTGTATTCTCCTCCAGCCCTTTAATTCATCAGGAAGGCCTTCCCAGTGGATTATATCACCTCTGATTTTCTTTAAAAGAACTGCAGAGCATTTGGACCAAAATTAATTATTTACCATCTTTTTAAATTTACAACTGCAGACTTGGATCATTGTGAGAACCATTCACAGAGAGTGATAAACTCTTCACCCTTTATTAATGACTATCAATGACTTGACTGTATAATTAGAGACTCAACACTATGTGAGATTTTCCACATCCTTGCCATTCTAAATTTGATCTTATTTATGGCTCATGACAGACCTATAAAACATGGTTCAACAGGTCTTTAACCATCATTAGTTACACCTTATAAAACCTTTGCAAAAGACTTTTTAGAATGTGGTATCTGAGGAATTTTGTTCATTGAGAAATTATCTTTGTCCCTGTTATTGTGGATAATCCCCAGAGCTCAATGTTTGATAGAAAATTACTAAAAAGAGAACAAAATCTACCTTTATTAAAAAGACAAGGATTGAAAACATATCAAAATATTATACTATTTCAGAGACTGTTTTGATATACTGCCACCTCCTAGCACTCATGATAAGGCTTTGTCATAGTACAATGTTGTACAGGCTACCATTTTGTTGTATTGATGTTATTCGAGAAGTAAATTGAATATAATTAAAGACAAGCTCTTCCTTCTAACTGCTTCAGACAAACCAATGATTCCATTCTTCATTCTAAACCCAGATCTGCCTTCAGCAACAACGTCCGTGTGGCCTACGACCTCATAAACCTCACTGGGCCCCATAGAAATCCAGGTGAGGTTCCTGAGGGTCCTGAAGGCTCCTGCACCAACAGCCCCACAGGAGGAGGGGGAGAAGGAGGAGGAGGAGGAGGAGGGGTGAGAGGAGGTCTCTACACACAGACTCTGCAGTGTCTATGCAGTGAAGGCGGAGTCCCTGCCTCCACGTCCGCCCCGCTCCTGCGACGTCTCCATTGCCAAGACCATGAGGCCGTCCCATATGATGTCTTCCGTCACGGTGTGCTCACATGCGCTGTTTTCTCAGACTACATTCGGCAGGCTCAGAGGCTTTACGCTGAGGTGTGCTGCCCAGACGAAGGGCCTGCCTCGCGGGGGCTGTGCCTGGCCGTACTGGGGACCCTACAGGAAGCACTGGAGACTTCCCAGGGCTGTGATGCAAACTGCTGTGTTAATGCTAATACTAAAGCTAATGCCTGCTTGGAAGTCAATGTGAAGGCTATCCGCTACCTGGAGGCCAGTGCCAAGCTCTCTCCCTGCAAGCTAGCTCAGGCTATATCTGGAGCACAGGCTCGGGGTCCAGGTGGCAACATGGATGCAAAGGAGTTTGAGAATGCAGCTGCAGAGCTGTTTATCACCCGAGTCAAAGTTGTGTCCTAGGTTTCTTCTCTGTTTTCTCATAATTTATGATTCTACAGCTATGTACAGTATGATAGAGCAAATAATTACCCTGTGTCCTGTCTCTGAACTCTAACCTACTGCTGCCTAAATGGTAAATGTCTATATAACACCTAATTAAAAAAACACGTACACACTTATCACAGATATTACCTCCTCTCCTGACTAACACTAAACCAAATAATAACACTCGTGATAAAACCTATTGTTTGATGTCTGTTCTTGAACTTATTCATGTCAACGATGTCTGCTGTGACTCAACAAGCAGCTACTGCACTGTGTGAAGGACATAGAGTTCCTTGGACAGACTAAATACATTCCTAGAAATCAGTATTTATCCTGTTTCCATTGTTGTTGAGCCTTCCCCACGAAACACTCAGTTTAGAAAGCAACACTCTGTACTGAGCTACATCTAATGCAATCCAATACCACAACCCTGTAATAAATCCTCTTCTTTTAACCATTTTCCTGTTTTGTTGAGACTGTCAGTGGAATAAGGATTAAACTGGTCTGTGTCATTGTGGAGGCTGTAGTTTGTGATGCTGTTGCAATATATTTAAGCATTTCTAACATTTTGTTATAGAAACGCTAACATTAAATTAAATTGCTGTAGCAGGAAACATTTGGGGGAATAAACATGGAATACAGGAGAAGACTTGATGTTCGCTTATTTCACTTGTATGCTTATTTGGAGTCTGCCATGAAAGAGAATGCAATATAAGTGCTCTCATCACACATTCATAAACACTGACAAACTGTTGCAAAGAAAGGCATTTACAGGCAGAGTTGGAGGTGGGAGAACAAAGATGAGACTGACGAAGGAATAAAAGAGCTTTTAATTTCCCTCCTCCTCACCCTTGACTCACTGATACATGGACAAGCCACTCAAAGACCACAGATAGACCTATCTCCAGCAAGAGAAGAAAGAGAAAGATAGAAGACTAGAAACAGAACCATATTAACTTAGATGAGAAAGCTCTTAAAAATTACCCTCAATACCCAGACTAAGTACTTATACTGTAGGCATTCTATTGGAATAGAAATATGCCACAGAAAGTTCTGTATGCAAGAAATACAAAACACAGGTTCACTGAGCAAATAACATATCAGCATAACTCCAGATTGTCTACATTTTCACATTCATATTCAGAGAAAAATTATAAATAATAATAATAAATAATACATTGTATTATATTCTTACATACTGTATAGGTTGGTGGTATATGAACAGCTCACAAAAGTCACACTGCAGAGAGAAAATCCAGGTAACTCACTCAAGCAAACAGCTGTAATTTTGTACCTATCACTGTACTGACATGCAGGCTTTGATGGCCAGCCCTCCAAAATAAACACAAACACTCAGCCGTTTTAACTGTTATTACAAATAAAAATACATTTGTTCACAGTGCTTAACAACAAAGGCCATACATCTGCTTTAGCAGTTTATACATACTATTACTCTACCCAGCATTTTACTGTGTAAACAGTTTAAATGAACTACAAAATTTAAGTTCTGTCTCTTACATGTTAATGCATCAGTAATAATGATCTTATAATAATATAACACAAACGCTGGTCTATTTTCCCTCTAATAATTCTGTACTTCATTCATTGTAATGGAGTTTTATTTTTTACACTGTTTTGTTGCTACCTCTTATGTAAATGATTCTGATGATTTCTCGGACAAGAAACATCCTTTCAACCACTGCTTATTTTGAGACACCAGATGGCAGCACCTTTGTGCTGGTCAGTCAGACACAAACAGGAAGAAAGCGGATGTACACAAGCTTGCAGTAGCCATATGATAAAATGACAATAGGTGCGACAACACCTGAGCTGCTGTAGTACTTTTACCACCGTAACTTCATGTCCTGCGTGCTGTCTCCCGGTTGAAGTCGTGAAAATGGAGGAAGAGGAGCAGCTGCGGTCGTTCATGTTCCTGATGACCTACATGCTGCTGAAGCGCAGGAGAGACATAAACAACGCAAACACCCAGAGGCGCAATGAGATCCAAAGACGCATCCGACACCGACAGTACTTCTTCCAGAGACAGAGGAGGATGCTCATGGTCAGTCGCTTCCTCTCTGTCTCGTTTTATGTCCCACACAACCGAAAACCTGGCCTGATCACATACAGTAGCTTCAGAAAGTATTCAGACCCCTTCACTTTTTGCACACATTTTTGTTCTGTAGATCTAAATTTAAATAGATAAAACTGCCATTTTTTCCCATTAATCTACACGGAGTAACCCATAATAATAAACTGAAAACATGTTTTTGGAAAAGTTTGCAAATTTATTAAAAATCAAAAACTGACATTCTCTTTTTTAAAAATTCAGACCTTAATTAAGTACTTTGGAGAAGCCCCTTTGGCAGGAACTAGATGGATACAGAAGTGTGCCAATACCATAGAGCAGAAGTTAACATAAATAGAGCTGCAACAATGACTAATTTATAATATTATAATTCTATTATTCTCAGTAATCGATCTCTTGTTAGGTCCATAAAAATGTCAGAAATTATTTTTAAATGCCTGTCACAATTGTCTGACCAACAATACAAAACCCCCAAATTTTGGAATTTACAATAATATAAAACAGAGAAAGCTGAGAATTTAGAAGTTGAAACCAGACCAGTTGTTATGCATTTCTGCTAAAAATGGACTGGAATGAGAATGAAATGAGTATTAAAATTGCTGCAGATTAATTTTTTCTTGATTGACTAATCGATTAATCAGTGAATTCTTACAGCTCAAAGAAAAGAAACTCCAAATTTGCAATTGTACTTGACAACAAACATAAAGTAAAGACAGGGGGTATGCTGCACAGATCATACCAAAACAGACACACAAATATGTGTTTTGACAGCTTCTCTATTTGCACTATAGGTGGTGATACAGATATTGTTTTTAATTTTACCAAACAGAGCAAGGAAAAATGTTTTAATGTAGGAATGTCTGCATTCTTGAATATAAAATCTGGCTACAAGTGTCATAAAAATTAATCAGCTAGAATTGGTAATGAAATTCAGGCACTGGTCAAAGAAACAAAACATGGGTCCTTTCAACAGTTAACAAATGTCATAAAATCTCTGAACTGATTCAAAGAAAATGTATTTTATTTTATTTTTGATCCCTCCTCAGATGATGATAGCAGGAAGTATCCGCTCCAACATCCGCATCCGCACTCGTCCCTGGACCACCACTCCAAGCACTGATTGGTGGGAGCGTGTGGTGATGACAGAATTCCAGCCCTCTGATTGGCTGGATAAGTTCCGCATGAGCCGGGAGACGTTCTTCTACCTCTGTGACAAACTGAGGCCCCGTCTGGCTCGCCAGGACACCAGCTTCCGCCTGGCGCTGCCTGTGGAGAAACGTGTGGCTGTGGCTTTGTGGCGTCTGGCGTCAAACATCGAGTACCGCACCATCAGCACCCTGTTCGGTGTGGGGAAGTCCACTGTTTGCAGGTGTGTTAGAGACATGTGTCACGCCATCGTGGCACTCCTCAGCTCAATCTACCTGCGCCCCCCCGATGAGCAGGAGCTGGAGGATTCAGCCCAGCTCTTCCTCTCCCACCTGGGCTTCCCTCACTGTGTCGCTGCCATCGCAACACTCCACACAGCCATCATCACTCCATCAAACAATGCATCTGACTATGCTAACCCTGCCGGCTGGCTCTCAGTGCTGTCTCAGGTAGAAAAGGCACCTTCATCTGTGCTGCTGCAAATACATGCTCATTAGTTGTCCTACATCAGATTATGACTTCTAGCCTCTTTCTGTCTCTCTGCTGTTTCAGGTGGCTGTCAGTGGACGGGGGCAATTCTGGGATGTGTGTGCCAGTTTCCCAGGTGGGACAGACCCAGCTGACATCTTACAGAACTCATCACTGTGGGCCACAGCTGCAGAGGGTGGACTATCACCAGCCCTGCTACCTATCTTTGTCGGAAAACCACTTCGGTTAAGTTAAAACCAGCAGCATGACAGTTGAATCAGGATCCAATTCAGTACCAAGTAAATCTCATTTTACAGGCATTTAAGGATACAATATACACACTGTAGAGGTAAATTGCTAGTCTTTTCCATTATTTTATTTTGTTTATTAGGTTTTTACTCCGCATTTGTCACTCATCTGGCATTAAGGCAAAAGGACTTAATATGCGTGTGTGAAAAAAAAGGTTCGATAAAAAGGCAGGGGACAACACACAACTCACTAAATTTAATCATAAAAATGCAGAAACTTGACAAATGTAGTTTTACTTTCATTCATTTACTATACATTCCTGTTTGTTTTAAGCCTGGTTATAACCTTGTTTTTTTTTTATAGTAACAGTTTTTTCTGTGAACAGGGGTTTAAGATTTAAAGCTTTGCCCCCTAACTGAATGTCAAGACAGTGGATGTTGTCACAATCCTGTCAAACATGTTTAGTTTTAATATTAAAGTGTCCCGGTGTGTTTTTTCAGACCATAACTGACTGAAAACCATCTGTCATGTCCAGGTATGTGCTGCTGGGGGAGGCCTGCTACCCGCTTCAGACCTGGCTAATGAAGGCTTATCCTGAAGAAAAAGGCAGGAGGGCAAGTCACGCAGCACTGACAGAGCCGCAGCGACTCTTTAACCGGCGGATCACCAGAGCGCTCCGCGTGTCCGAGGAGGCGTTGCTGAGGCTGAGGGCACGTTGGCAGTGCCTGAGCAAGAGGAACGACTGTGGACTGGACGTGGTACCCACCATGATCCTGGCTTGCTGCATTCTGCACAACATGTGCGAGTCCCACGGTGACGCCTTCAAGGCAGGGTGGCAGGTGGAGGTGGTCGAGGCAGAGAGCCCTCAGCCCAGCCACAAGCAGCTCCTCTCTACCAGTATGGATCAAAGTCATGCTGAGGAGGTTCGACAACTCTTCTGTGACTATTTTCAACAGCAAAACAATTGATAAAGGACTAATATTATTGATAATCCTTCTAAACTTTTGTACTCATGCTATTATATTTTTTGTTACACTACCAGTATAGCTATAAAGATAGCAATGTCCGTCTGAACTGTCAGTCACATGTACCTCTATGCTAACTGTAGCCAGGCAAGTTAAAGCAAGGTAATATTAGCATCTCAAACCTGTAGAACTTAAATGCACTTCAACCTGATGCAGTAAAGCTCACACTGATTATAAAAAAAAGCCAAACCTGGCAGTGTGGTGCCCTAAAGTCAGAATACATCCATGGAAGAAAAACACTCAACACTCTTGATTTAGTCAGGAGCCTGTCTTCACTCTGGTGCCACCATCTGTCCAAACTTCACATGTTTAGTTCCACTACTGGTAAGGATGTTAGAACAGTGAAATAGTCTTTTATCCATTTTGTTTTTAAATCTGTCAAACAATTATGTCTTCTATCTTTTAATAAAACTGTTTCTACATATCATTTATTTCGCACATTTGTATGAATTGCATCATTGCATAAAGGTCCCTGTTTTATTTAAAGAAAGTTAGATGTGATGTGCAGATAGATAGATGGATAGATAGATGTTTCCTAAAAGCAAGAAGAATGCAGGATAAGCATAAGCATGATACGTAAACCTGAGATGAAACATCTTAGTGATCATGGAGATGCAGCTGCAGATCCCACATATTCCTCAATGCTAAGCGTCCTCATTTGCTTTGTGAACTTACTGAATGAATACTTTATACTACAGATGTTGCATGCAACTGTACTCTAAGGCCACGAGATGTCGCTGCTTTCACAGTTCAGAGCCACTACGACTCTCACTAATAATGTGTCTTGTCTAATGCTGCTTGCATTATACTGCAGGTTATTGATGGAGTGATGGGGAGTGCTTGTTGAAATGTCTTCTGTCTTAATGATCTACATATTGTACTATACTCTACAGATCTTTTTCAGCAGTACAGAATATTGTGCAGCACACATGCAGCAGGTGTTGGACTTGTTTTAGCAGTGATCACACATACATTGCCGAGGATACATATAAGAACTAAAATAACAGCGTTTCCCAGTTCATACAGACTGGCTTTTGCATCTCATCGACCTAACTTGAGTGCTCACAATCAGATCCCACCCCGAGGATCCGCCTCGTTCATGCAATTGGTCTGTCACAAACCTGTTTCATGCAATCCTCCGTCTGTCACTCAACAGCACAGTCTCTCCTCCTCCTTGCTTGGCATCGGGGCTGGTGTGTGTGTATGTGTGTGATTGTGTATGTGTGCCCACCTTGTTCCAGCGACGAGCTATCCGAAAGCCAGCTGTTTGCAGTGAATACATTTCTGGCAAAAGCCGCCGGCTCGACACGCACTTTATCCCCCTCTTTGAGGCTGTGGTCGTAGCCTTTATGTTTTACCGTCAAAATGAGTCAGGATGTGATGGGGTGCTGTCCTGCTATCGCTAGCTAGGCGGACAAATTCCTTCAACCAGCCTGCTGTTTCAATCACTGCGGGTTGACACAACATTAGCTGAGGCGTTGTTGAGTGAGCTAGCGGGCTAGCAAGGCAGCTTTTATAGCCGTTACGTCTGTTCTAGCTAACGTTAGCTAATGTAGTTAGTTAGAGAACGGACGCATTGCTGCGGCGTGGATAGTGCAATAACGGTTATCACTAATGTTAGCTTCTTAGCAAGGACTACTACTTTTTTCTAGCGTAAACTAGCTCGCTGACGTTGAAGAGACTGCACAGATATCAACTGTTACGGGTTTGGATGTCGCGACACTGCAGTTTTGTACCACTTTTGCCGGATTGTGAAGACAGAATTGGACCACAGTGACAGACGAAAAGATAGAATTGGACCACCAAGTGACCGAGCGGGTTAATGATATAAACCAGGTGTTAAGTGGCTAATCTGTGGCAGTTGCAGTAATTTTAACACTATCTGTATTAAGGCAGAGCATCTCGGGGAGGCCCCGCCGTCTCCTGACTCCCCTCCCCTGTCCGAATCTCCCGTGATTTACCGAGAACACCCGGGCGAAGTCGCAGTTGTTCTCGGCTGGGGGGACAACTTGACAGCGAGGCCCCTAGCTTTAGTCTCCCCTCCCCCAGTCCCGTCCATCCATCCATCCGTCCAGCCCCGACAGACCGCCTCCTCCTCGCCTGAAATCGAAGCGAGGACCGGGGATTCGGGATAAGCCGAAACCGTGGGCAAGTGTTTGTCGGGTCCCGTATAAAACCGGGCTGCCAAAACCAGAGGGGATGACTCTGGAGTCCATGATGGCTTGCTGCCTGAGCGAAGAGGCGAAGGAGTCGAAACGAATCAATGCAGAAATTGACAAACAACTCCGCCGAGACAAGCGAGACTCCAGGAGAGAGCTAAAATTACTTCTTCTTGGTATGTAGCATGCTAATTCTCATATACTCCTTTATTGTACTGTCTTGTGTCGTTACATGCAAAACTAACCTCCTTGGGCCTTCTTGGCAACGCTAGCAAATATGCTGCTAGTTAAGGTTGCTAGCTGGGAGCCTGGTTTCGGTGTGAGTAACGTTATGGCATGATTTCCGAAATGCGTGGCTTGTCTTGTAGCTTGTTGAGTTACAGTTAGTGAGCTGTCTTGTCCAGGTGCAAATCTGCAGGAACAGGCTTGCCACCGATACAGTCTCTTTATTCGAGTGTGTGTGTATTGCATTGGTGTGCAGACAACAGCTCATTTGGCATCGAAGTTACTAAGATGTCACCGTTTACATGCTACCACATGCTAGTCAGTGGGCCAATTTGGCATTATAGACTAGCCCTCGAGCTATTCAGTTGGTCAGCTTCAAAACTGCCACCGTGGTTTGTTAGCTGCTGGTGGTTAAGAGGTGAAGATGGTCACTTGATAATAGAAGAAGCAGCAGCAGCATTGGGTTGCTTTACACTGTTGCTCACCAGGTTGCATAACATTTGTACAGCCTGAGGTGCCTCAGCTAGACCTTGCTTGGTGCTCATTCATTCATTTATCTACCTCTCTTATTTATTAGTGTGCACCCAGTGTCGCAAATCTACCCTTCTAGCGGACAAGGATACTGAGGGATTTGCCCCCTCATCCTGGAGTCTAGCTGAGTAGGTTAGCTATTTTTATAGCTGGTGTGTGGGCAGGTGGGAGCTGCTGTTGAATAAGTTGCTCTGTACTGCATTGATTCATAGTTCTGTGGACACAAAGAGGAACAATAGGCTATGCTTTACCACAAAATGTACTTGCATTGCTTTCAGGAAAATGTATTCTGTGTGCATGCAAATTCTAACAGGCTAACTTTTAACCGCATGTGCATGATGTGAGCCCTCAGCCACTGAAAACAAGAGATTTCAATAGATTTCTAGTGTGAAAGCTCCTTGGAAAAAAAGAAAAGCAGGAGTCCATTTTTAGGACAATTAAAATTATCTAGGTTGCATCCTTAGTTTCAAAACGTTTGCTCTCATTTCTTGCCCATCAAAAGCAGCCCTGGTTATTTGACATGTGTGTCTCCTTTCATTTCCCTGCTGAATACCTCAGCTTGGAGAAGTAGGCCACACTAGAGTCATACCGTCGATGGGACATATTCTAATCTGTGTCATACATTTTAATCGCTATTGCACTCTATTCTACCTGGCGGCCAAGGTGAACAGGTGGAAAGGGTGTTTGTTTTTGTGTGGCGGTTTTGAAATGGTGTGCTGCAGTCGCATTTCTCCTGTCAAATGATCAATGAATGCATGGCTTCACCGAGTGATTTTAAGAGATTTCAGGATTCAGGCAATCATTTACATTCGACACTAGTGTGCTCATTGTTTTAGTTGTACTGATAGCGTTTCCATTATATCCTTGTTTTTGACAGTCGCGTAACAAAATGTCAGTTTGAAAGACTGAAAGCAAGCAAGAACTGCAATCAGTCATGCTGTAAGTGGCCCATCCTGTGTGAGTTAAGGCTGTCAGTGGACGCCTGGATAAGGACGTGTAAGGCAGGATTAGTTCAGGTCTTAATAGGCTTGGTTAAACACATCCGCTGCTCAGACTTTGAGATGTCACTGACTCCTATTATCCCCTGACATTATTCTCAGGCCCACAGCCCTCAGTGAGCTGCTTGCCTCTTCTCACCGGAGGATGAGGACAATCTCTCTTTCTTAACATTTACCCACTGTGTTCCATCGAGTGTATTTTTACAGAAGAGGGAAAGTGATACTGCAATGCATAATGAGTACTGACCGTTTAGCCATCTCAGTGGAATATTGTGGGAGTTATTCTGTCATTAGCTACCCTGCAGTTCAGTGCATGTGCAGGAGATAGGTTGTATATTTCAGCTGGGCTTGCAGCAATGTATCCAGTAGCTCCTTCTGGCTAAATATGCACATTTTTAGTTGTACATAATGTGTCACTGCAGACTGCTATAGCTTGAGTACAGAAATATTTTAGTGTGCAGGCATGCAATCATGCGATTTCTTTTCAAGGTATCCAAAATCCAGCTCACATCTGATGCTGTATGTCTGGATTTATTATAGAATGATTGATGTACAGTACACAGAACTCCAGTGTGAAGAGTTGCAACTATTCTGTGTTTTTGTGTCATTTTAAATTAATTGTCTTGGGGGTTTTGGACAAAAACAAGACAATCAAAGATTCAAATACAATCAATACAATTTCCTAAAGTCCAAGGTGACATCTTTAAACAGCTTATGTTGTCTGTCCAGAGGTCCAAAATGAAAAGTAATCTGTTTACAGTGATGGAAAACAGAGGAACGCAGCAGCATATTTAAGAAGCTGCAACCAGAGAATGTTTTCTTGACTGAAAAATTATTTAAACAATTAATTTATTAATCTTTTCAGCTCTAGATTGATGTAACAGGTCCTACCATTTCTGCTTGTGGCATTCCCCTAACAAAAACAGTGTTTCTCTCATTAGTTCAGGTCCACCCTCCTCTGTGTCGCTCTCCCTTCCTGGCAAAGTTTACAATATGGCCAGGGTGCATTGCCATAATAGCCATGTCTCAACAAAGCAGTTATGTGGCTATGCCAGACACAGGCATGAGGTTTCCAGACTAAGAATACTGTGAGGGTGAATGTTAGGGTTAGTTTTGTAGGTAAAAGATATTACAACTTCAAGCTTAGCCACTTGGTCAGAAAATAACAGCTCTGCCAGGGCTGCAGCAGTGCCCACAGTCTGGCTGCCTGTCACTGAGGGCCATATCAGGCCATACCAGCAGCTTCCTGCTCCACAGACCAGTGGTTTGCCTCTACTTGGTCAAAACACAGTGGGCCAGGAGCTGTGGCCTTTGCTGCATAGGGTAAATGAACCGCTGGAGTGAGTGAACGGTCAGTAAAGTGAGATGGAAGGGCAAACACTTTAGGGTTTCTCAAAGCGCTGACCGAGGTAAACTGTAAGCTCACAGTCAAGCTGTCAGTGTACCAGTTGGCATTAGTTTTTTTTTTTTTTTTTGGGGGGGGGGATGTGGCCTTCACATGAAATCTGAGCAACAGAATATGTGGTGATAAGTAAAACATCCCTAGAATGATGTCAGCAACACATTTTTGGTCATCAAATGCAGTGTTTAAGAAAGTGGTCTGACTGGGGTAAAAGTTGGCTCCATGGTAGCACATCATCCCAGGCGTGGGTTTAATGTACAGTCTTTTGCCAAATCCTCATTGATTGACTTGTTCTTGTTGATCCTCCCTGTCTCAGCAGAACGTCTTGTTTCCAGGTTAAGACATCCTTCACAGGAACAGTCTGATTGAACCAAGAAGAGGATCAGGGGTTAGGCTCAGATGTTTATTGCTGACCTTCCTTCTCTTGCCAAGCTGTCTTTATTTTGAACATATATGGCAATAGGGATCTTCTAGCTCAACTCCTCAGTGTGTGTGTGTGTGTGTGTGTCTGTGTCTGTGTGTCTGTGAGTACAGTACTTTTAATGCCAGTGAATGTGGAGCTATGTGCTTGGTCATTATGGTTATTAATGAAATCTTCTTTGTTGTGGTCAAATCTAACGCTTTTAAATATGGAAATCATCATGAGACAGGTTTTTACAATTTAGAAAATCTAATACAATAAAACAATAACAAATATTGGCTGATAATTTTCTTCTTTTTACATGAACACAAACTTTTGATAAGAATTTCTTAAATATGGTTATTTAGGAATTCTGACCAAGCTATGTACTGGATGGGATATTTTTTCAGTTGAAAAATAAACCTCTCTGGTGGACTAACTATGTAATGGAAGGACTGTTTCTAAACTACCGCAGACATATTTTTGCATTTCTACTCTGCAGTTTCTTGTTACTTATCAGTTGACATGCACCAATAGCAACCTAATATCAGCCAGAAAATTGGCCCAGCATCTAGTGCACTTAGCTGTCACTTATTCTCAATTATGTTTAATGGAAAATAGCCCAGAATGTCTTCAAAAAACAGATCTACAATTGTAAATCCTTCTGCATTGACACAGCCCCTTTGAAACACTTCTACAACCATATTGTTTCTGAACACATGGTTATGAAGGTGGCTGCAAAATTGCTACAAATGAACAGTCATTCAGAAAATTTACTTGTATAACTTGAGATTTCATAAGAACATCAATGTGCAGAAGGAATGTAATATGTTCTTTCTCTTTACTTGCAGGACATAATTGTAAACCACTGATACTACCAACCACTGTTGCCTAAAGACTGTTCAGTGTCTTATCCTTAAGGCCAAGTATGTTTTGTATTTCTTGGGTCATTGCGTGCCTTTATTATAATGTTGACAGCCTTAAATCTGTAGGCTACACGGGCACCCCAAAGATAACCTGTATGTGACTTTAGAGAAACAAAAAATCAAATGTTCTGTTCTCCTGAAAAATGCATGAAAAGTTAACTTATTGGAAATTCATTTATACACACTGCCTTTGTTTTCGCCCAGTTTTGAGACTTCAGAAAAGATTATTGACTGTGTGTCATGCAATATGTGCGATACTTCTGTTTTTTTAGAAATGTTTGTTATGGACTCGCAATGCAGAGCAATGAATTGATTAGGGACTATATGTATGACCACGTATTAGAGCTTGATTGCGAATGGTTTTCTGGATTCTGTTGAAGTTGTATCCTTTTCACTTCAATCTGTACAATGACCTGTAGCCAGACAGGATTGTTTATGAAATCAAAATGTACAAGTACAATTTCAGTATCAATCCAAGTCAATGGAAGTCAAAGGGTCACCCCTCACTTCAGTCATCTTGAAGGCACAGTGGAGTAAGCACACAGCGCATGTTCTCCATTACAGAACAGAACATATCCGGTGTCTCCATCCAGACTCCCTCTACATCCCTACTTGTTTGCAGTAAATGCTCAGGCAGTCGCCCTGCCTCAGCCAGCCTTGCACACATTCTTTGTCTCTCTCTATGCCATGGTGT